TAAACGGTAACTGTAACGGAATACAGTTACTCATATTTTGTATTTTAAATACGTAACGGCGGTACATGTATTCCGTTACTCCCCAACACTGAACAGGAGTCACACGCGGTGAAACAGCCGTTCAAAATACAGACAAAATTCACTTTTTTGCGTTTTTTTCAGAGAATCACGAGAAACAGATCAAACATCTGTTTCTGTTACACTGCTTCATTAGGATGATGCAGTTTTAGAGTTTACACTGTGACACTCACAGCGGGGAAACAATGATTGACGAGTTGAACTTTTTCAAACAAATGTGTTTTTCAATTCTGAAAAAAAAGTTTAGAGGGCTCGAAAATGCTGAAACAAATAATGCATATTGAAAAATGCATAATTTCAACCCAGCCGGTGCACTCTGACAGCTGTAACTCAGAGAATGTTGGTAGCATGAAGGTGAACGTTTGCATGGCCTCATAAAACAAACCAAAGTTAATTTATTAAAAAGATCAGCTAATCGGCTCTTTGTGTCCTCCAGAGGTCGCTGATGTCTGCGCCTTCCTCGCCTCGGACGACTCTCAGTACATCACCGGAGCCAGCATCGAAGTGACAGGTGCAGTTTCTCTATAAACTTTTCATTTCACATGACGAATGTTTTCAGTTTAACGAGAATACCAACACATCAGGACTCGTCTTTCTTTGTCAGGCGGACTTTTCATGGGTTAAATCAGCCGTCCGGCGAGCGCGCGACTGAAGACTGAGACTAGTTTCTACGTAATTATTATTTTTTGACTCTGATTTTGATTGTGTGAATGTTTTTGTAATTTTGATGTGAACCTGTCACATGTTGTCTTAATAAACACTAGAATGTAATGTTGAATCTGAATGAAGCTTTAAGAAAGTTTTAACATGTTTGTGTGTTTTTGGGGCACAGCTGGTTTGAACCAGCTGCTTTTGAGTTTTTAGTGTCTCCACACCATCATCACCACCAGAGCCTCCTCAGGCTTTCTGTCTTCTCTGAGAAGGTTTACATAATAACTCTGACTTTAAAAACATTGTTGGAGGTCAAAGGTCAGCACACACAGTTTGAACCTGAAGCCTGAGCGTCCTCAGATGTTGCAGGTGTTTAACTCTGAGCTTTCAGGCCTTTCAGGGCTGTTTGTTTCATAATCGGAAGCATCTTTGCTCCATCTGTGCTGCGGTTTTTCTGTCTTTTATTGTTGAAACCACAGCAGTTTTCACTTTGAGTCGTCTTCAGCAGATGCTGTTTCTCAGCTAAACATGTGAGTTTGGAAACAGGACCCATAATCTCAAAGACGACGTACCAGCACATTACGCCCCCCCCTCTGAGGGACACAGCTGGGCTTGTCTTGGTTTTAGAAGTTTAAATGCAGCCGCTGAGAGGAGGAGAGGAAAACAATAACGATGCCAAAATCTGTCTGCAAAACACTCGAGCAAAGAAAAACTGAGGTTTCTGTTTTTGTCTATATAAAAAGTGAAGCTAGCAGCTCTCAAACAATCCTGTCTTTTACTCACAAACACATAAAATGTCTGAAAGCATTTTGAAATAATTACTTGCAGAGAACAAAGTTACGCTAACGAGGTTAACGAGTTAATCCCAGTTCTTTAAAAGTCTGTGACTAGTGATGAAACCGAACTGATGCTGATCTAAAGAGAGGAAAACAGGGGCATAATTTCAGAATGGCCACAAGATGTCGCTGTTTCAGCTTCTAGTAACAAATAGAAACAGCAATCACTAAAGTAGACCATAATAAATATTTAATGGAGAGCACATAAACAATTTGAAGTTAAGGATATTTTGTTATATTACCAAGACATAAATTAATATTGTCACCAATGCAGATTATGCTACTAAGGATTTGGGGAAAATACATTAAAGTAAGTCAAAAAACAAAACATGAAGCTGATCCAGAAGATAAATTAATAAAAAAATGCACAGAAATAAAAACATAATTACCAAGAAAACCTGTAGAGCTCTTTAAACTGCTAAATAATAAAGCATTTAAAATACATTATTAATAGACATTGTTCCCTTTGTTGTTGCCTATGAACAAGTACTTTGACAAATAGCGACACCTTGTGGCCATGTGTAGTAAAATCACGACAGCAGTTTGGAAGAAAAACAAGAGTCAAGCAGCTCTTTTTAAAAAGATTATATATTACAGAAACAAGAATTTAAAAAAATTACTTACAGACATTATAAAATACTTTTTTCTTTTTTCAGCACCATATTTTTACGTTGAAACGGCTTCAACACAATAAAAACAAACAAATAGTTGAGGTCATTCTCGCTGGAGGAGGGCAGATTTTTTTGGTTTTGGCTTTTTCGGTCATCCATCCTCCGGTTTCCTGCTATATATAT